AAGTATGCTTAGTTTAAGTGTTTATTAACGTCTAAACGGGCTTAACTACGTGTTTATTAACATCTAAATATGCAAGGTTCGCATATTTATTATTGTCTAAGTATGCTTAGTTTAAGTGTTTATTAACGTTTAACGGGCTTAACTACGTGTTTATTAACATCTAAATATGCAAGGTTCGTATATTTATTATTGTCTGAGTATGCTTAGTTTACATGATTATTAACGTCTAAACGGGCTTAACTACCGTGTTTATTAACGTCTAAACGGGCTTAACTACGTGTTTATTAACGTCTAAACGGGCTTAACTACGTGTTTATCAATGTCTAAACGGGCTTAACTACGTGTTTATTAATGTCTAAACGGGCTTAACTACGTGTTTATTAATGTTTAACGGGCTTAACTACGTGTTTACGTTAATAAACACGTAGTTAAGCCCGTTTAGACGTTAATAAACACGTAGTTAAGCCCGTTTAGACGTTAATAAACACTTAAACTAAGCATACTCAGACAATAATAAATATGCGAACCTTGCATATTTAGATGTTAATAAACACGTAGTTAAGCCCGTTAAACGTTAATAAACACGTAGTTAAGCCCGTTAAACGTTAATAAATACGTAGTTAAGCCCGTTAAACATTAATATAAACGGGCTTAACTACGTGTTTATTAACGTATAAACGGACTTAGCTACGTCTTTATCAATGTCTAAACGGACTTAGCTACGTCTTTATCAATGTGTAAAAGGGCTTAGCTACGTCTTTATCAATGTCTAAAAGGGCTTAGCTACGTCTTTATCAATGTCTAAAAGGGCTTAGCTAAGTGTTTATTAACATTTAAACATGCAAGGTTCCCATATTTATTATTGTCTAAACGTGCTTAGCTACGTGTTTATTAACATCTAAACATGCAAGGTTCGCATATTATTATTGTCTGAACGGGCTTAGCTAAGTGTTTATTAACACCTAAACGGGCTTAGCTATGTGTTCTAAACATGCAAGATTCGCATACTTATTATTAGTTTACATGTTTATTAAAGTCTAAACATGCACAGTATATACCTGTTTATTAGTGTCTAAACATGCTTGGTTTTCATGTTTATTAACATTTAATATTGAACAGTTTATACGTGTATATTTACGTCTAAATATTTAGCTATGTGTTTATTAACGTCTAAAGATGCACAGTTGTTAGCGTCTATTAATGCTTGATTTACATGTTTTGCAACGCTTAAGCATGGATTGTTTATACCTGTTTACTAGCGTCTAAACATGCTTAGTTTACGTGTTTATTAACGACTTAACATTCACTTTATACCTATTTATTGAAGCGTTAGGTGTCATACAATGTGACATTTTAGCCATTGTGTTACATGTATATGTCATACTAGGAATCATTTCTTGTCAGACAAATTATGTCTCTAAAAATAAGAATTTTTAATAATGCTTTTAAGCATTTGTACCACAGAAGAGAGGAATTATTTCATTCTTCTTAAATAAGAATTTTTAATACTGCTTTTAAGCAGTCGTACCACAGAAGAGAGGAATTCTTTCATTCTTCTTAAATAAGAATTTTTAATACTGCTTTTAAGCAGTCGTACCACAGAAGAGAGGAATTCTTTCATTCTTCTTAAGGTTCTTGCAAAAGTACAATAAACTTACAAATACGTTTAAAAAGAAAGTTACATTTGTGTAATATAGTAAGGGTCCTTAGCTCTCAGAAAATTAATTTGGTTAGTGTTCCCGTGTTGACCGTTAATTTCAAATTAAAGATACTATGAACCGTACCGATTTGTTTCATGTAACGAACTCATTGTCTGTAATGTTATATTGACATTAAGTATAAAACAATCCTTATGCTCATAAAAATGAAAACAAAATTACAACAATACTACATGCAGTTTTCAGAGTATATTCACAAAATACTTGCCGATTTGGACAATTGTTAATGACTAATCTTATCAAAATCTTATATGATCTGAAAATTATTGTTGCAACTTATGAAAAAAGTGTGGAATCCAGAATAAAACAGCATATATAAACTATTATACTATTATTATAATTGAATGCGTTTTTATGTATCTTAATTAACTAAAGATTTCGCTAACAGAAACAAAACATACTACAATTATATTTATGTTATAATTTCCAGGTTTTCTATTTTTTATATCGTTGTTTTTAAAGTGTTGATAATAAAAGAAAAATACAATATTTTTCTCTGTAGTCCTTACTTTACACAATACATTTGCGCATTGCAATGTCAATACCACTAGCAAAAAGCACACAGATGATTTATTTCCAGGATATCAATTTTTACCTAGCTGATGTAAAAATAAACACAGTCAGTTGGGAATATCTGAATCAAAGCCATTCCGACTAAGTGTTTTATTTCTATTCTTTGGGCCACGATCAATAATACTCATAAAATGTTCGAATATTTATTTATTTTAACTGATACGAAAGTGAAATATATTATAAATCAACATCAATGTGTTCACTTATACGAAAAAGATTAAGAAAGCATAAAAATAAATTTCGATATTTCGAGTTTAATACTATATACAGGAAAACATTGTCACTATTCTTTGAAAACGAATATTTAAGAATTCGCAATGGATGCCTTTTATTTTTATTTATTTTTAAGAAGAGATCATTTTTTTCTCAGAGACAGGATATATTGATTTAAACAAAGCTTTGAACCGAATAAATGCATTTCATTTGGTCTCCCAAACTATTTTCGATCCAACACTTCTGTCTTTCTTGAGCCTGAAAATTTCGAAGATGAGAACCGTTGAAGCAGAACTAAGATATGAATATTGGTTCATGGAGTTCTGATTTAATGTGATGGAAAATTCCTCTCAACTAGCGTAATATGACGATATTGTGAGCTAGCTGTCAAACCAACCTATGTTTTCTGTTTGTTTTTTTTCTTGCTGGAGGAGGTGCGTGATATCATTGTAACTAGACCATGAAGCCCAAGCATACAAACTATGAAATAGCTAACGATCCCTTTAAGTTAGTTTTTCTTTAAAGTTTCATATACATTTTTCTTAAACTTCCAAAGCAAAATATTAGTAGTTCTTGCCAAGTTGAAAAATATATATTCTATGTGTGCGTGACAGTTTTATTGATAAAATTTTCAAAAGAAAACATAATGACTACTTTAAAGAATAAAAAAATTACTGTCAAAATATTTTCGTTGTATTGTATTTTCCCTTTATATATATATCTTGTATTTTCTTAAGAAAATCTCCTTGTGGTTGAACTTGATTATAATCATGATTTATTTTTGAAATATGTAAAACCTTTACGAGTTAGAGTTACGTAAGGGTTTTTTACGTTTTCTAGGTTCCGAACATCCGTATCTCTCAGTTACAACCTTAAACACAACCCATTCAGGCGTTTGTTCTGATAACCATTCATAAAAACTATAATATAATAAGAATATCGTGGCAGATAGAAAATTTGATAATCACTTTTTGTCTATTTTTCTCTGTATTCACGAATATGTACAGATAAACTTTTTCTATTAAGGGATAATACACTGTTGCAAAAAGAGGCAGAGGAAATAGTGGACACCACGGACACCAGGGATCCAGACGTCATACCAGCTATAGCAAGTGACACACACGGTAATACTCGTTTAATAGTAGCTAGTGATGAGTTGATTCTACTCGGATAAAATATCGCGATTTTATCAATTACATATTACAAGAAAATATTGATTCGTTTCATTTCAAAGTTTATTTATAATGATGTACAACAGAAATACATGAAAATACAAAGTAAAAGTACAAGTTATACACTAGAAGTTGTTTCAGTTGAGCTGTGTTAATATATTCTTTGTTCTTATAATGAATTTGGAGAAGAATTTAGATTGTGTTTTGTTTTGTTTCAAATTTGACTTGTATATCCTTGTACTAAACAAGTTAATTAATATGAGATAATTGTTTTTATACAAATATATTTCATACTTCTAGTACGAAATGAAGCACTTAATAGGGAGGCGATTCCATTTCATAGTCTACACAACGGTAAAGGTCGACTTGAAGGTCATTCCTTAGCCATTACTCAGATACACGGCATCATTCCAGCTGGAAACGTAATGGTAAGCTGGAATTCACCTCTGAAATCCATCATTAATATCATAAGAATTTTGGGAATACGTATGTTATCTTTAAAAACAACGAAAAGCATAATTAGTCATGGAACAATACATTTTGATGGATGTAACAATAACACCATGTTGGATATTGTACATCTTCGTTCTGATGATAATCACGTTTTCCCGAGCTCCTTCTGGTGACAATTTCCGGTCATTACGAATTCGTTGTATCTATGACCGCCTCAGATGACAAATATTATTTGTTTTATTGATATCCGAATACGCCAATTACCTTTATACGAACTCTGTAAAGTAGAAATTAACAAATAAATTCGACATTTATGGGTTATATTTGATCAACAAACTTATTGTTATGAGTATATTAAATTGTATTGTAGATCTATAAGAATAAATTGTATGACTCTTGAATTACTTTGAAGTTCACTCCGTATAACTGATACATGTACGTGCTACAAATCATGGTACATTCATTGAATACACTGAATGATAAGGTTGTTAATTTAGTAAATACTGTTGGATAACACCTTTCTTATATACAACATGTATATAAGTGTAAATTTCATTCAGATTACACAACAACCGTAAATTATTTACCAAAAAGGTATTTAAAAAAGTGAATTACAACCTGAAAAATATGAACAATCAAAGAATATTACATATTATAGTTTTGTTTTTAATTGTATTACTGGCGATAATGAATTTAATATTATGGATTATTAATAGCTTAAAGAACAAGATTTGAGATTCGTAACTAACGTGGTCCGGGCGTGGACCTAGTGGTTAGCATACCACGCTTAAACCGAGGGTTCAAATTTCGCCTCCATTTTCCGCAAAAATTATAATATGCATTGTCAGGCCATGGTTGAATTATAACAGTAACAGCGAAATCCCGCTATTCGAATAGAGAAGGCAAATAAAAGTTTGTGAGTGCTGCTCGATAGCTACTTTCATTTTAGTCTATAAGCTCAATATTAAGTATTGCTAGCGCCATTAAGTCGTTTTGTACGAATATCTTCAGCATTTCTGACTTCTATATATATTTGGATATATATCTTATTATTTCGTGTATCATTAGTTAGTTAGTTATTTTACTTATACTGCAGCCTAGCGTTATTGTGTGGGTTTTACGTCACTCGGTTAAATATATATACTTATTCTGGACGATGTTTCAGGTATTATTATGAAGTTGCGAGGTATCAAGGCAGACTTGGCTTTGAATATTCCCGCTTAGACTAATGTCTATATCTCCGCCTATAGAGACTACTCATAGGAACTAAAACAAATAACCTTGTGTCTATCAGACTTCTCATAGGAACTGAAACAAAGAAC